ATATATTAATAGGGTTTAGAGGCAGGGAACTAGGGTTTAGAGGCAGGGAACTTCAAAATATTTATGAATATAAGTCTGGGTTTATAGATGCATCTTTTGTAAGCAACTCTGCTGAGTTCTTAGAAGTTAGAGGTATAAAAAGTGGCAAGGGGGAAGAAATTCAAAAGAGAATCGAAGAGAGCAGCAGCAGAGTTGCTAAAAAATGTTGCATGTATAAACCCAGACTAAATGATTCAGCAGTTTTAAATTTTGAAAGCTGAACGGTGTCAAAAGCAAATTTATGAAGCAATTGTAAACTATTACTTTGTTTGTTGGAAATAAACCAAGGAATCTATTTTTATGGTCAAAATAATCCTAAGCGCGCTTTGATTATGCCTCCTAAAGTTCAAAAATATTTAACTCCCAAGTGCAACGCACATTAACATAAACCATAGATGTTACCGTCGATAACAAATAACACAATGGACGACGCAACAGATACATTCTGCTTATTACTTTACTGTACGATCTTAAATAGAGAAACACATAAGAGAACTTCAGGCATGGTATATTATGTTGTTTTTTGGCCTGTTCCCGACTGAAAGAATCTACTACTTTCTACTTCGATAACGAAAATAGTAAAATTTAGTAGATTCTTGCAGTACGGAAACCGACCATTTGTTTACTCACATCCATGTTATAATAATAAAAGGTAACAGCAAGTTTTGTTGTACAACAAACGATACAACAACCACATGGAAATTTGTTGTTGTAAGTTATACTAATGTCAACGACATTTGACAGACAAATGTAAACAAAGAAACAAATTATATTTATTTTGTAATATTTTCGAATCCTCAAAATAAAATTGAAAAACATGAATGAAAATTTATATTTCTATCTCTTCCACATCTTTCCTAAAATTGAGACATTGCCACTTATATGTGTAACACATATGAAAATACTGGAAATTGCGAGTTATTCCATGAAGAAAAGGCTAAACAGAATGTTCGCGTTGAGCGTTTTTTGTTATCGCGTTAACGCACGCAAAAAGTTGAAATATATTTAACTCCGAAGCGCAGCACACATCAACTTCGAGCGTTTGTGTTATCGTTTCCGTGTGGTTGTTGTATTTTCGATAACATATAACGCGACGGATGGCTCAACGCGAGCATTCTGCTTATCAGATATAAGCACATCTCATATAAGAAAAAATCGCATATAAGAAAGATTATCAGAAGCACCGAGCCTTTTTACATCTCATCAGTGTAAAAATTGATTCATATAAGAAAAACTCGTATAAGAAAAACACTGATATAAGAAATGTTTGAAACACGCCAAAGCTGACAAAGGTATTTGAAAACGTTTGATATAAGAAAATATGTAAAGGGCTAAACAGAATGTTCGCGTTTTTGGTTATCGCGTTAACGCACGCAAAAAGTTAAAATATATTTAACTCCGAAGCGCAGCGCACATCAACTTCGAGCGTTTGTGTTATCGTTTCCTTGTGGTTGTTGTATTTTCGATAACACATAACGGATGGCTCAACGCGAATTTAGTAACATTGAACATGTTTTATAAAAATAAAATACTTTTTAATTGTATTTGAAAGAATGTTATTTATATGAATAGAAACAAATGCACCTATTTTTGTCAAACTGTGAACTGATTTTAATTTAGTAATTTTGTACTTTTATATTATATCCGACAATTCCATATAAGAAAAACACGCATATATGAAAGAAATCGCCGGCTTTTTTATGTTTCTTATATCCGATATCTACTGTAATCAAATCAGCTAGTTCAAATTCGACCTACGGATCCCTATTCTATTGACAGCAATTGTAGAATTGGGAAATCTAGTTCACGAAGCGGAGCGATCTTTCTCGTTCCTTTTTTTTAAAAGGAACTAGTTCGTAAACATAGTTCCTCTGCTCCATTAAGTTCCATTGCTCCACACAGTTCCTTTGATGTATATAATTCCTTTACTCGATATAGTTCTGACTCCTAGACCGCTCCTTTGAATCTCTCCCTCTTTCATGGTTCTTTTTGTTAATTTTTGCTCGCATAGTTCTGTGTTGATTTGTTAATAGATGAAGAAGTTGAAAATTTATCAAAAATGAAAAAAAAATTCAAAAATATTTTTTAATAAATGACCCCTATTCCGTATTTCGTCGTCATTGTTGACGACGTTTCTCTTTCGACATCACTTCGACCATGGCCTATAAATAAGGTCACCAAGGGAGACCAGCTGATAATCGATATCTCTCAAGTTTGCTGTCAAAATGCATTATTGTGAATTGACTTCCATTATGAAAACGTAAACAAAGTCGAAATTTTTGACATTAGACTTGAGAAAAAACAGCTGTTTTCCGATTTCGATTGCTATCTTGGTGACCTTATTTATAGGCCATGACTTCGACACTGATTTGGTATTCTGATTTGACTGTCAACTTTGACTGTCAACTTTTTTATCGATTATTGACTGTCCAACAACCATAAATATTTTTGTGGTTGCCTGATGAATGACAAACATGTGAGGCCACACTATCAAACAAGCAAAATTTGGGCAAGAGTGCCATTCAAAAATGCTAGTGTGTACACCGCATAACACTCATGTGATGATGTCGACTATTTATCGATATCTCTAAAATTGTGGTCAGCTGTTTATTTTGTTTGATATTTTTGTGCAAAAATGTGTTTGTATCCTTCACCGCACTGTGGCACAGGGCATTATGTCTTGGTACATGTGTTTGCAACATCCAAAAAGAAACGACGTAGACCTATATCTACTTTTTAGTATATACATAGAATTATTTTTCAGTCGATTTATGCATGTCTCTTCATCCATGTATTATTTTAAACAAGTTACATAACACCATTATGATCCGAACGGGATGAAATCCATCCCACTGGTATGAAATTTTATTTGGCACATAGACGAGTCCTATTGATATTGGTCAAAATCGATTCATATTTATATATAGATCCCATATATTTTTCTTTATTTACACTTTATTTTGCATTACGCATTGAACAGATTCTAGAATGATGTTCCTGTTCTTTTTTTAATTTCTTAAAAAAATGTTCCAACACTTGAGTCATCAACAAAAACAATGAAGGGCTAAGCAGAATGCTCGCGTTGACGATGAAATCTTCGACATCGTCGTTGTCACACATTTGGCCTGTTCCCGTTCTGCAAGAATCTACTATTTTTTACTACGATATCACTTTTTTCCTTTATGATATCGGAAAAAATAGTAAAAACTCGTAGATTCTTGCAGTACAGGAACAGACTAAAGGGCTATGCAGAATGCTCGCGTTCAGCCATCCGTCGCGTTAAAGTACATTTACATATACGATTTTAAATCGACTCGATTAACGAAATCCAGAAATACACCCTAATTGTTTTCACATACCTTTAATCATGATTTAAATACGGATCAGCTGATGTTTGTTAGTATACATACAAAATTATAAATTTGCTGCAAAAATATTTCTTTGCAATTTGAACATGAAACGAAGAATTACAACAATGGAAATGTTTTTGAAATGGTGTGATCGTTTGGAAATTTTAAAAAACAACGAAAAACACAAAAATTCTATAAATACTTGTTATTTAATTTTTGTATTTGGTAACCGTTAAATTTAAAAACAAACAACATGTGAAAACAGTTGCAAATTTTTGTACATTGTGAGAGAGTTGTATTTTTTAGCACAAAAACCGCGTTGCATCTCAGCAGTATCATGATTTCGATCATGATTTAAAATAAACCATGCCGCACGATGATTAATTTTGTATGGTAAATCATGATTAAGGAAATAAACCCTGATTCGTCCTTTAATCATGATCAAATGTTATATGTAAATCCGCTTTCATGGCCTATAAATAAGGTCACCAAGATAGCAATCGAAATCGGAAAACAGCTGTTTTTTTTTTCTCAAGTCTAATGTCAAAAATTTCGACTTTGTTTACGTTTTCATAATGGAAGTCAATTCACAATAATGCATTTTGACAGCAAACTTGAGAGGAATCGATAATCAGCTGGTCTCCCTTGGTGACCTTATTTATAGGCCATGTCCGCTTTTAGATGTTATCGAAAATACAACAACCACAAGGAAACGATATGCGTTATCGTTTCCTTGTGGTTGTTGTATTTTCGATAACATATAACGCGACGGATGGCTCAACGCGAGCATTCTGCTTAGCCCTTAATTGTTACGGAATACCAACAATTTTTCAATAGTTATTTCAGCTCTTTATTTAATTAAAGAGCTGGAATTAGTTCCGATCGTTCCTTTCTCGGAATAGTTCCAATGAACTAGTTCGTTCCCGAACTACCTAACTGTAGACAGCTGTATTAAATGTATTAAAAAGTAAGTCCTAGGAAAAAAGTAAACACTAGAGTTGGGCAATCTAGTTCACGTAGCGGATCGATCATTCTCGTTTCTTTTTTAAAAAGGAACTAGTTCCTTAATGTAGTTTCTTTGAACTATGTAATTACTTCATACAAAAAGGATTAATCGAAAGTCGATTTACTTATCCCTAATCATAATTTGCCTAAACCTCATTCGTAAACAACACGGTTTCCATTTAGTCTCTATCCCACCTCATTCGTAAACTTTCGGTTATACCATTTTGAGTTCATCTTTATCGGCCATTTTGTCTTCTCCTCCCATTCGTTAGCAGGTGGATCGTTTTTCAATTTTTTCAGTCGTCGTTTTTATTTTGCTCCGTTCCAAAACCTAAAAGAATCTACTAATTTTACACGTTTTGTAACTTTTTACTCGAAAACCGTTCCTGAACCCATAAAACTGGTAAAGCATTGAATCAAATTTAAGAGATTAAAAAGTCCTAGGAAAAAAGTAAACACGCAACGCATCGAAAAACAAAGGACCAACATTAAGCTGAACAGTTAATTTTTGCGGAAAATCTCATCAAACACTCTGGATAATCTACGAAAAATAAGTGCCTCAAGAGGGGTAAATAACATTTAGTGCGGTCGATTTGAATCTGCCGGCTTTACGTGGAAATGTCAGCCTTTACCGAAACAGCCTTTCTGAAAAAATTGGCAGAGCTCAATTCCAGCCAACAAAGTATTCAGACGTTGTCCTTGTGGCTGATACATCACCGCAAACATCATGCTAGTATTGTCAAGACATGGCTTCGTGAACTGCACGGTGGTAAGTGGCGGAAATTGAAATGCAACGTGACAAAATGTTAATGCAAAATTGTTTTTTTTTTCTACAGTACCCGAACCAAAGAAGTTGACATTTATGTATTTGGCCAATGATGTTATACAGAACAGCAAAAAGAAAGGTCCCGAATACGGCAAGGAGTATATGAATGCCTTACCCAAGGCATTTACACACATTGGAGAAACATGCTCTACCGAAAAGTTATTTGGTAGTTTGGGACGAATTTTAAAAATATGGGAGGAAAGAGGTGTATACGATTCGAAAATTATTGACGATTATCGGACACGCTTGAATTGTAAAAAAGGTTTGGATAATACAGCTAGCTCTACGGCTGGTGAGGAGAGACGTGAAGCAAAACGTAAGCATGAGGACAACAAACATCGTTCGAAAAAGACTCGCCCGTCTCCATCACGAGTTGAGGAGAAAACATCGAGTGGCAATGTTTTGGAACACAATGGAAATGGTGACGACAGTCCATATGTTCCCCTGGGCGAACCACCCGAACCTGAAGATCTCATTAAAGCTTTGATAAGCATTGAAAATTCTGCCTCAAGTGATGCTGTTGTTCGTGAACGTATTGCCAATCTGCCACCGGAAATATCCGAAGTCAGTTGCCTATCTAAATTGGAGGATAAAGAATCTGCTCAAAATTTAGCCAAACAGGTGAGTGAAAATATTTTCGCACAAAAAAGAAAAACGGATTTAGTCTTTGGGTTGGTATGACGCCAATGTAACAGGCAAAAAAAAAAATATACAGAATTAATCCTTGTTTTTGGAATCATATTTTGAATTGACTGTCCATTAGTCTGTGTGTTTTTGTTTTATTTTGCACTTCTCGAATTTTCTCCGTCTGAATTTTTTGATGAAGTTTGCTCCCGAAGATGTATGATCTCCTATAGAGGATTCAAAATTAAAGATATTTCCTTCGGCAAATTGTGATGACTTATATTTCGGTGAACTAATAGCTTATAATTGTGAAAAATAAACTTATATTAAATGTCTTTCTTTATGAGTATATAAGTTACTTCTTTGTAAAATTCTTTTATTTTATTTTTTAGGTTAATGAAGCTGTTGAACTTTTAAATGATTACAATTCAAGACTGGCTGCCGAAATGGAAGAACGTACAAAATTGGCCGTAATGTTACGTGATTTTCAAGCCGAACAAAAGGAACTATTAGCACAGGCTGAAAAACGTTTGGAGGTAAATAATCCGATAACACTGTTTTTATACCCTTCACTACACTGTGGTACAGGGTACTATGTCTTTGTGCATATGATCGTAACAGGCAAATGGAATGGAGATAAATCAGTGGTTCCTTTTGAGAATATGCATAGAATCACTTAGCATAGAATCGATTTATGCATGTCCCTCTGTCCGTTCGTGTATTTTTGTGCACAAGAGTACAAATTTTGCACAGAGTACTGAATTACGTCTAGATTGGTGTATGCCATTTTGTTTGAAATTGCTTCAGATTTAGATGTAGCTCCCATATATAATTTCGTCCGTTTTAGATAAATGGTGCACCAAACTCCCAATATTGGTCCGATTGAGGCAACATTTTGCACAGAGTACTGAATTAGGTCTAGATTGATATATGCTAAGTTTGTTTGAAATCGGTTCAGATTTAGATATAGCTCCCATATAGTTTCGTCCGATTTTAGGTAAATTGTGTACCAAACTCCCAATATTGATTCGATTGAGATAACATTTTGCACAGAGTACTGAATTAGGATTAGATTGATATATGTCAAGTATTGTTGTAATTGGTTCAGATTTAGATATAGCTCCCATATAGTTTCGTCCGATTTTATGTAAATGGCGCGCCGAGGAGTCTATGTTTGTTCTATACTCACTAAATTTAGAAACGAGTGTGGAATTTAGTCTAGAATGCTTTTTGTTAAGTTTTTAAATTCTATTTGCACGATATTTTGTTGTTGAAATCGGTTAAGATGTAGATATAGCTCCCTCATATACATTTGTCCGATTTTTTGCAAATGGAGGAGCCTATGTCTGTTCGCTTTACATGAAATATTGCATAGCGTATTGGATTGAAGACGTTTCAGATTAAGATATAGCTTCCATATATATTTTCATCCGATTTCATCAAAGTGATGTACCTAATAACTAAAGTTTGTCCGCTTAGGACGAATTAGTCCACAACGTACATTAAATGGTGGATGCCATGATTGCACAAATACCTCTATTTATATATAGCTCTTATACATATTTTGCTCGATGATTGACATTCAATTGTTTTAATTTAGTTCACACAGTTAATTTCGTCCGATTCCATTTCAATGGTCCTCCAAAGATGCTATGTCTATTCTATCTAAAGGATAGGTATGTACCACTTTGGGTACATACAAGAGATACTCATATGATCTCTTGTATGTACCCAAAGTGGTAAAGTCGGTCCCATCCGACTTTTGGACTTTCCTTAAAGGATTTAGGAAATTTTGAATGGTGGTGGAGGGTATAAAACGTTCGGTCCGTCCGAAGTTAACATCGCTTCAACTTGTTTATTTGTACTCATGAAATAAATGTTTGCATTAATTTAATTCATTTTGTACATTTTCTTTTAGGAATCGAAAAAGAAAAAGGAAAAAGTTTTGGCCGTACAAAAAGAGATACGTGATCATCTCTCAAATTTGCCTGATCTTACCCAATTACCAGATGTTACTGGTGGCTTGGCTCCATTACCCTCAGCTGGCGATTTATTTAGTATTCATTGAGGCGCTGTTGAGCAATCGTTGTATTCGGCAAAGGAATTCTATGAATTTTTTTGTATTGGAAAATAATTGAATGTAAAACAAACAAAAAATCAATATTAAGATTGACAAACAACAAAAAACTAGTTTTAAGTTATTTTTGGACAAAATTAAAATCTATTGTTAAACGAAAACAAACAAACAAATCTATACGAATGATACAAACCAATGATAATATATAATTTTTTCATTCTTTTGATTTCACAAATATGATTGATTGATTGCACATATATACGGCATGATATTTATTGGTTTTAAGAACGAAACAATAATATAAAAAACACAAGAGAAAAAAATAAACATTGAATGTTAACACAATTATTATAAAATAAATAATACAACTGTTTGTGTTTTTTTGCAGTGTATGAAAGAATCTGTGAAAACAAATTGGAATATAATGTTTACAGTCCAACTTTTGACATAACCCCCATATAAAGGTTCCGCACAATTTTAGGTATATATTGTAGTCAAATTTTCCCACCGAAGTTTCTGGTTCTTGGAGTGTGAAATATGAACTTCACCAAAAATGTTAATTCATATTTTAATATAGTCCCCGTCTAAAGGTCCTGACCGAATTAACTTATTTTGCATACCCACTAGGGTTATGACTTCTGCAACCTCGCATCCCAATATCATATTTTTATGAAATATATAAGAAATAATGGTATGTTTAAATGTGCCACTTTTTATTGTTTACATAAAGCTACAAGCGAAAAAATAGAAACAAATCAATTTGCAAATTCCAAATTAGTGCATTACAAAATTAGCCATGCCATTCCATTTTTCGGTAAAGGCAATAACATCACTGATTTCACTTGTGGCCGACAATTTCATGGCTACGGCGAATTTACTCCATACATCACGATTTGCCTGACGTGTTGATGACTGAAAAGTAACCGGCTGTCGACCTCGAACGGGATAGCCACTAAGAATGCAGGCTACATCATCCGCACCCAAACTCGATTCATATAGACCACGATCATCAATGGGCAATACCTGAAAATTATCATTACCATTAAAAAGTCTTCAATATCTTCCCATTGAGGACATGATCTTACCTGATCCACCTGTTGATCCATACTTACCGCCAATACCCATTCTCTGACTTCTTCGTGAAGATCAGGATCATTTTTCAAATGAATTTCTTCGGGTATTGGCACCGAACTGGGAAAATCGGTTGCAGCCAAATCGCTGTGATCCACTAAATTGCCCGTACCATCTTCAATGGCCTCACAAACATCCAAATAGTGATTAAGTATAATAAAGGCCTCCGCCTCACGTCCTGCATTGCGTAAATCCATTCCCGCTTCATAGAATGCCTTATCTACGGGAATGATATCGGTGTAACGTAACAGGGCAATGGATATTCGCAGTGCTATGGGCTGTAGTGCCTGTACATGACGGCAGGCACTGCGTGCGCAGTAATAATGCGCAATAAGTAGATATTTTTCTATATTTTCCGATATTGAAGCCTGCGAATAATCTGATGATTTTAGAGCCTGTAATGAAGAGATAATTAATACCGATATTATGCAAATATTTGGTTAAAGTTGTCTTCGGATTTTAGGTATTTTGAATATAAAATTTTCAAACGAAATATTCGTCCACCCAGACTCCAGAAAGCATATATGCGACATGTAGACCAGTATTAACCCATTTTTGGTCATGGTCGTATTACTCCATCGAATTGGCAGTAATTTGACATTCAGGGTTCCTGCAGGTTGAAAACATAGTTGCAAAAAATTATCGATATGGGTCCACTTTATAACATAGCCCCCATATAAAGGACCCGTCCCAGTTTTAATATTTTGAAAGTTTATGAAGGTTATGGCACAGGCCCCGCTTTCTAAGTCGTTTTATGCATGTCCGTCCACTTGTCTGTTGATATAAAATTGTAAACAAAGTACAGGTCAAATTTATGATCCTCTTTGGATGGAATATGGCACAACTCACTTATTTGGCCCAAGAATGGACCCTATTAAAATTGGAGAAAATCGGTTAAGATTTAGATAAAGGTATATATTTTCGTTCGATTTTATGTAAGTGGTGCGCAGCGTACCGAATTAAGTACAGATTGATGTATGTGGAGTTCTGTTTAAATCGGCTCAGATTAAGATATAGCTCAAATATATATTCTAGTCCGATTTTACGTAAATGGTGCACAAAAGTCCCTATATTTATTCCAATTTACACAACATTTTGCATCGGGTCAGATTTACATGAAGAAGGGTATCGGGTCAAAAAATAAGCATGCATATATTGATAAACCTGACTTTTATGTGAACAATAACAAAATTTGTATTCTATAGCGTATATATTTATGTGAAAAATAATATATACAAAATTTGTATGTGGGAGTTACACTTATATTTACAGCGTATATATTTATTTTGCAACTCTCTTCCACACTATATCGCTATATTTCCTGTTATGGGCAAGGACAACGCCTATAATTTTCGGTGATGATCAGATAATAATTTTGGGATGACGGGGACCGAAAACTTATTTTTTGTGTTTTTTTCGAGTTGATCTATAGCCCCACGGTGAAGGGAATATGGACGACTAATTAGTAGGAAAATATGTCAGTGTAAGGAAGAGGTGCTGTTGACCTCTAATCGTGCAAGAGGGTGCAACTATCACGAAATATTGCCCAGGCTCGGAATAAAAATCCGCAGAAAGTTAGAGTTCCGTGGTTGTTGTTGTAGCAGCTTGTACTGCTGTGTATTTTTCTATTTTCTTTATCCTGGTTCTGCCTCTAACTCCAAGTTCAGGAAGGCTGCGACCTGTATTGGTTGAAGATGGGGTTAGGTGAGTGGGTTTGGCTGGGCAGTTGAACAGATATAGCGTGTCATGTGGTCCGTTACCACATGCCGGGCAGACATTGTCGACCCCTCCATCAATTCGTGCCCAATATGAATTGAGGCGGCTACACCATCCAGATCTCAGTTGTGCCAAGACCACTCTAGTTTGTCGAGGCAGCTGCTGCTCTTCTGCAGCTATCAAAGGCGGATGGTCTCCGAGGATGGTATTCGCACGATATTCTTGAACTGCTTCCTCAACTGCGTCCGTGTGAATACTATTAATCCTGCTTGATAGGCCTGTTGATCTAGAGGCTCCCTTTTGTACCTCTGGACCTATCTCTCCAGATCATGGAGATCCTTCCTGACATGCCTGCGTGGTGGGTGCCTATCCATTAGATAGCGGTTTGGATGGCTGCTCCTATAACACCCAAGCAGTTATTGCATCGACAATTGGTCCAATAGAACAATAGAGTTCCGTGGTAGTTGTGTTGGGTATCGTAGGCTCGGCCCCGCTGGACTATACTGCTCCGCCCACTGGCTCTAGTTATTTGTATACGTGGTAACTATTTTTAATTTCATTTATATGTATTCCAATAATTCCACCTATATATCGTTTGGGCTTTAGTCCTTATTTCCTATATAATTTTGTTACCCAACTTTCGCCCACTACTCACCTGCAATAGACGATAAAGAAAATCTCGCAATTTTCTCCAGACACCATCTGAACATGACTCTTCACGTAGTGCAAAACAATCCAGGGCAATTCTAGTGTAAATATTAAAATTTGCTTCCAATGGAGGAGCACCATAATTCATATACAGATCAAGAGCAGAAACACTATCACCCTCTCGAATAAGCTGGGCAGCATAGAGTGCGACATATTTATGCAGTACTGCTGAGCTTATTTGTTTGGCTTTATCCAAACATCTCTGCCACTGGCCTTGTTCAGCCAGCATATCTAAGGCACTAATAATATCTAGAAAGAACCAAATAAAAACCACTTAGTTAGCATAAACAGGGGTTTGATACGATACGCATACCTATATCTGCCAATTGTTCCACATTACCCTCACTTTTGAGACGAGTTTTCTGTTGATGCTCGACATAAGCCATCAACTCCGGATCCAGTTCCTTTGCTAAACGTCTAGCCTTCGACCATTGTTCTGCTTTAATGAAAACATCTACGGCCTCTTTGGGCATTTCCGCAGCCAAATATAACTGAGCTGCCGGACCGATTTGTTTGATTTGCAATAGACGTGGACCCAATTGATTAGCAATATCTATGGCATCCTTTCCTTCCAAAAATTGATTGCATATCTCGGCCGCCCGCAGCAATGCTCTTTCCACCGTCGTTGCGTCTTCGGCATTTGTATTGTCGATTAGCATAAGACATTCTGCAGCTTTACGAAAATCTTCTTTTTTGGCAAACTCAGCTGCCCTTTGAAGATAGGCACGCGAATCATTTGCTTGGGCGCCACCTGAACTGCTGCTGCCACCATTACGACGTAATTCCTGAGCTTCCAGACGTCGCAAGTCGTTCAACGCATTCGGCAAGTGATCTTCTGCAATGCGAATGGCTTCGTCAAACATTCCCTCATTTTTATAGCACTCTATAATAAGATCCGGACGATGAGCTCGGAGCATAAGATCTTCATAGTCAGAAAAATTTCGAGTTTCCAAAGCTGCATTGGCTTGGCTGATAAGAATTTCTGTCACTGCTTCGGGTAAATGGTTCTCTGCCACATTTAGTGCCGCAGACCAATCACCAGCATGGGTGTACATTAGTATTGCCTCCCTGGGTTTATTGGCTTTAATGAACTCAGCCTCGGCTAATTCAAATTTACCCTCATCTTCCAGGGACATTGCTATTTTGAGATGGACTTCATCGGTAGATTTACCCGCAAAACGACAAAGATCCATGGCAAAATCAAATTGACCCGAATCGCAGGCGAAGCCAACTGCAGTGTCCAATAAAGCCAACTTGTTGAGAAGGCGTACCGCACTTTCTACAGGCATTGATTTGGCCCACATATAAGCTACTTGATTACTGGCCCCATCCGTCCCCTTTTGTTTGGCTACCCGATAGCCATCTTCCCAGCGGCCAGCTGTACAATACATGTGGACCACCGATTTCCAATCTCCTGCGGCCAGATAATGAACTTCGGCATTCTTAAATTTACCCTTCGATTCCAAAGTGCGACCTAGATGTTGATGGGTACTCTCAAGCAGATCTTTGTGATAACGTTCTACCAGACGTATCATGGAATCGTATAGTTCGCGACGCTTATACATAGCTATGGCCAGATCTGGTTCATTGACTGCTAAAAGGACCTTTTCAGCATCTCGATATTTGCCCTGTTCCTCTAGACCGCCAGCTAAGTTAACGAAAAGATCACGCATCTCCTCGGCTTTAAGGTATTTTTCGCCAATTGCGTAGGCCCTTTCCCATTTGCCGTGACGATTCAGTAGCTCAATAGCTTCTTTGAATAAGTTGGCACGAACCAAAAGATCCTCGGCGCCATCAATATCCCCGGCAAATGCTAAATGTTTTGATAAATCCAATGCGTAACGTTGAATCTCCTCCGGTTCATCTAGAACCTTGGCTATTTGCACAGCTTTACGCCACTGTTTGGCACCGACAGCTGCTTCCAAGGCCTTTTGTGTGGCACCAGCTTCAATGTAATGGTTTATGGAGGCATCGAGTTGTTTGCGTGATACCAGCCAATCACCCCATTCTTCTTCCAAGGAGGTAACTTCATCGGGCGCCAACTGACGCGCCAAATCTAAAGCACGAGCAAAAGCCCCACCTTTACGGTATAAAGTTAGGGCGGCCTCTGGGCGTGACAGGCGGTAGGCAATGTCACCAGCCATTTCGAAAAGTTCTATTGTAAATGATAAATTTTAGGTAGGAGTGCAGAAGTGGAATGCCCACGTACTTACCCGAATTAACTAAACCCTCCGTGACTTTCATCATCAGCGAATGATCATCCATTAAATGGGGAGTTTTCAGGGCCAATCTGGCAGCCCTAGCCGGTTTATTGGCCTTCAAAAACAATGTCATGGCCTTTTCTACTTCGCCCTGTTCTTCCAATACCTGGCCGGCTTTCTCCTCTTGGCCCGTTGTCAAAAGAAACGACATTTGATTTTCCTTGAGTTGTGCCAGACCCAGGTAGCCTCGCCGTTCGGCTAAGCTCACTGCCTCATCCCACATTCTTAATTTCTTGTACATTTCCAAGGCAGCTTCCATATCGCCCTGTTCCAAATATATTCGCTCCGCTGTCCTTAGATCCGATGAAAGTAGCGCCAATTTTGCTCGAACTTCCGGACATTGTATACCTGGAGATCCGGTGGATTCTTCGAATTTATCCGCCTCTTCTATCATTTCGTTTAAATAATACGCTTTTGAGACGTTACCCAGAGCTGCGTAACAACGTTGAGCCACACGCAGGTTACCATCTTCCATTGAGATTATGGCCAAATTATGCCACATAGCTTTGGCTGCCGGTTTATCGCCCAATGTTTCGAGGAAGTGAACGGCTCGTCCAAAATCGCTGTCATTAACTGCGGTGCCAAATTCCACTAAGCCTTCGTCTAATTGATAGGTGTGCTCGGTGGGTCCTTCGTGCGAAACTACTATGGTACGGCCCTGTTTTAAACGAAAAAATGAAACGTTTTATTTGTTAAAAAGCGATAAGTTCGGCCGAGTTCTTTGATGCAGGCACTTCCAGCTGTAGAGATGAAGAAGAGAAACCTAGTGACAGATACAGACAGCGTGTTGAGGATCTCGAAGGAGTGTTATGTAAAGCTCTGGTATTAAATAGTAACGGCGAAGTAGATACCCCAGAACCAATGAGAGATGGCAGTATAGATTGTAAAGCATCTAGACAAGATGGTATCAGAGTAGGAATTAATCGGTTGAAGAATAATAAAGCAGCCGAACTATTAAAGACTGGTGGTCAATTTGGCTTGGATAATGCATGTCCAATGATTGGAACCCCAGCATCCTATGTCTCGTGAAAACTAAAAACGAAAACTAGTCGATAAAGTGCTAGCCAGCGTGCTCTGTGAGTGACTGAAGCCAATGGTCCATGATATTATTGGCTTCAAACCTGTCAAATCCACTATAGACCAAATTTTCACACTGCACCAGATCCTTGAAAGGAAAACACATTGATACATTCCAGCTATTCGTTGACTATAAAGCAGCATTCGACGGCCCAATTCGCTCAGATGTGTTTAAAGTCATGTCTTCGTTCGGCTTTATTGCAAAATTAATACGGTTTTGCAGGATAACCTTAACTGGTACAAGGTCAGCAGTTAAAGTCGGGAAGGACCTCTCGGAGCCCTTCAATGTCGAATATGGATTGAGAAAAGGTGGCAGTTTGTCGTGTGACCTTTCTAATATCCTGCTGGAAACAAATGAAAATTGCAAGCGGCAACAGCAACCTTTGAACGAATTGAAAAGTAGTCTGCCAAATTGGGACTGGCGAAAGGAATTAACGCGCAAGATGTCAAGTAGACTCGGACCAACTGCGGAAGTTGAAAACTACAGCTGCGAAGTAGTGAACGATTTTATATACCTCTGTACCATCATAAACAAATATAATAACATCAGCTTTGAAATGCGGAGGAGAATATTGTTGGTCAACATATGCTACTATGGTCTGAGTTAACAACTTAAAAATTAGGCTACCTCTTGCCAGACCAAATTCACACTCGGCGTCGAATGAGCCATGAGCAGTACCATTTATTCTGGGACACTGCAGGTCTTTGAGAACAATATTTGTAAAAATCCGCGCTTATGGCTTAGCAGGTCTTTGAACAAATATATACATATTTAAAAATCCGCCCATTTATCTAAGAAGATCCTTGTGAGAAATTGTTTAAATTTAATTTACCCTTATCCCTTATTCCTTGAGAAATAAAATTATTTAAAATTCCACAAATGCAATACTCACCCCCTCACGTATGACTTCCACAACTTCACCACGTATGGCCATCAAGGTCAAATGTTCTGGCAAATCAATGTTATACCAAATGGCCAGATTATTATTGCTTTGAGCAACAACGACATCGCTTTGCGGTACCCATTGTACGAAAGAAATATTGTTGAGGAGTGTCTGCTTTTTGCCCGTATAAATATCGATTAGTATGAGACGCATTTTCTTGTCACGAAAGAGAAGCTTATGGGCAGTTTCACTCAATTCTATCCAATCGATTTTTGTTTCATGATTTACCTGGCCAATAACCATTTGGCTAATTAAGTCCACGACACAGATTGTCTTGGCATCCAAAAGGAAGGCCAACTTTTTGTTGTTCCTAGAATAAATAAATATTTTTACAATTATTTAATTATAATAAAGTTCATAATGTCCTACCTTGTATTGCCACGTTCATTTAGGCGCACCGAGATCACATGCGGATTAACAAATTCGGTGCGCACCGAACCCAAAATTTGTTGTTCACCATATTCGACAAGACTCAGTTCGCCCACATTGAATATTAGACAAACTGTGGGATTTTCAAAATAGAAACGTTCATGGCGTCCCGATGCCGACCATGGCACTTCACTGACCAGATTACGTGTCAGATCACAGAGTATAAGTGATTCTTCGGTGCGTGCCACTAGAAAATTATCTTTTCCCATTATGCGGACGTCATCGATTTCCAGGCCCAATTGAGATTCGATAGTCATTTGTTCGTCAGGTTCTTGTAGGGAACGTACCAGCAATTGACTTGGTGCAACAAAAATCAGCTCAAATTTATCCTGCCAAATGGTACGTTTAAGAACCGATTCAAATACGATTACGGCGCCGGTAACGCTGGACATGGCTAATCTGTAATAATTTGAAAGGAAAAATAATTAACTTAAAATTTGTTAGAAATAATGGATTTAAATTTGTTTAAATTTGTTGGTGGAAGATATGTCTAACCATGGAACATTTTTTTCTTTTGTTACTCCGCATGGGAGCAGAGGGCTTCTACAAAGCATCGCCATCTTATTCGATTAGTCCTTCTGTAAGTTTCGGTAATCAGCTTATTGTTTTTATTTTAGGTATGTAGATGATTGGTCTGCTGCAGCCTGTCTCAGATCAAGGCTGTCATCTATCGTTGTCTAGGAACTATGCTTCCTTATATTTTGTCGTATCCTCATGTATTGATGTTGAAATCGAAGTTGGCTATTAGAATGTTAGCGGGGCTTCGGATATATTTCATCTGGAGAGGCATAGAGCCAATTTTAATTCAAATGCTAAATTGCACCCTCTTCGGCAGGAAATTTATAGTGGGAGTTATATCAAAACATGGAATTTCATGGAGAATTTGTTCCGAAGTAGTTTTTTGTCATTTGAAAACCCGAAATGACCCCGATTCCATAAGGAACTGAACATATCGTTCAGTTGCTGAAAGACAGACATAACTCAAAAAAAAGACGAGTTTGCAGAAATGCCTTTTAAGTTTTCAATTTACATAGACATTACATAGAACAGAGGAAATTCTATAGTGTCTCAATCAGAGTGTGTAATAGATATCCATATGAATTTTTTACACAACGTGAGGCCTATTATAGCGAACAATCGTGTATCATTGAGTTATTTTTGAGTTATGCCTGTCTTGCAGCAAATGAGCGATATGACCTTAACAATATGAGGGCAGTTCGGAGAACGCATTCTGTATATACAGGAAAAACATAAAAAAGTTGTGTTTTGGAAACTTCCATCTCTGTTATGAACACATGTTAACGTTAGTTTCGATCTGGCAACTTCTTCATATACAGGTGGCAACTTCTTTTTGAACAGGTGTTCAAAAAAGACGCATCCGCAATTTTTATACCCTTCAACACACTGTGGTACAGGGTATTATGTCTTTGTGCACCTGTTTGTAACAGGCAAAAGGAAACGAGATAGACCCATAGTTCCTTTTGAGAATATGCATAGAATCACTTCCGTCGGCCCGTTTGTCCGTCTGTTGGTGTTAAATTGTAAACAAAGTACAGGTCGCATTTATAATCCGATTTGGATGAAATTTGGTACAGCTCATTTGTTTGGCCCAAGGACGAACCCTATTGAAATTGGGAAAAATCGGTTCAGATTTAGATATAACTCCCATATATATTTTTCGACCGATTTAAGTTAATGGTGCACCAAAGACCCTATATATCTTTCGATTTGCACGAAATTTGGCATAACGTACTGAATTGAGCCTAGAGTGATGTCTGCCATGTTTCGTGAAAATCGGTCCAGTTTTAGATATAGCTTCCATATATAGTTTCGTCCGATTTCATGTAAATGGTGCACCAAAGTCCCTATATACCCTTCGATTTGCACGAAATGTGGCATAACGTACTGAATTGAACCTAGAGTGATGTCTATCAAGTTTCGTGAAAATCGGTCAAGATATAGATATAGCTCCATTATATATTTTGGTTCGATTTAATCAATATATGGCTGATAGGAACAAAACGTACTGAAATTAGTACAACCTAACCTGTGACAAGTTTCGTTGAAATCGGTTCATATTTAAATATAGCTTTCATATATATGTTCGGTTTTATATTTAAATATAGCTTTCATATATATGTAGAATCGCAAATATAGCCGATTTTGTTTGAAGTAAATTGTATCAAACGGTTTATGGATCACATATTTTATTTCATCCAATTTCATGTTAATATAGTGGTGAAGGGTATCATATAGTCGGCCCCGTCCAAATTTACTACTTCCCTTACTGGTTTACAATGAAAGCATGTATTTCTAATTTTTCCATTGTAAAAAATTGGGGATGCGTCATTTTTGAACACCTGTTTCTATATGAAGGAGTTAGCAGATCGAAACTAAATTTAACATGTGTTCATAACAGATAACTTTTTTCGGGTTTTCCTGTTTATACCGCGCTTTTTGTGTTAGGCTAAGTACTTTCCGAACTGACCTCGTACTTAAAAATAGGACGGTTTTTTATGCAATCACTTAAGAATCCGACATTTCATACGCAACAACCTAATATTTTGTAAACCCAGTTCAGTTTTTAAAATTCTCTTTTAACATATAAATTCTAATATTTTGTAAAATTATGCTGTATATCAATCTCATCGATACAATTTAGAACTTCGTAATATGCTAACAAATATTTACTTAACAATACAATGCTACATACCTTGCACCATCACGTCGCCATAGTAAACAGGTAACGGTATAAAAGAAATTGATGTCTTTTGTGGCACTTTCACTCCATGCCGACAGTCGAGGACTCCATGTAAATATGCGTATGCGATCGAAACTGCCAAAGGCCACCGCTTGGCCGTTGGGACTGCAGGCAGCCACCGTAAATTCACGTTCGCCTTCGGTGCGCGAGTAATCAAATGTACGAACCTGACGTCCCTAAAGTGTTTTGTTACAAAATATATTAGTTTATTAAAAACACATACATACATTCATACACACTCATAAAAATAAATAATATACGATTTTATTACTTGTTTATGACCATCTTGAAGGAGTGTCATCCTCTGATTGCTAATCAATTTGCAAGTGACACATCCTCCTCTTCTCGTCTGCCATTACATAGATACATACCATTGTATCATAGAAAACAATACGTTGATCACATCCACCCACACAAAATCCACCCTGAGGCCAGGCCAATGCAAATGGTGGCACAGGATGTTGAATTATGCGTCCCGACGGTTCATTGCTGTCATCCACCAAAAAGAATCGAATAATGGTGCCATCATTGTGGCCGGATAAAAAAGCCGTTCCTCTTGTATTCGGCGCTAATGATATACAGATACTGTCGGCTCCGTACAGACTTTGTGATTTATTCGTTTTACAGTGCAATGCACGAACTTTGCCATCGTCAAGACCTAGGTTTGGGATAGATGAAGTGGATTAGAAGGAGTGAAAAGTAAGCAATGGTGTTATATTTCGGCTTGAAAACTCATTTAAAAGGGGGATATAGAAGGTCAGAATATTCTATAAAAATTGTCGCCATTGTCGTCTCAAAATAGACCAAAACTCGAAAATCAGCCTAAACGCCGAAAATCTTAAAAATAACAAAACTCATTATAGGGTTAAACCCGATATTATTCCAAGTGTGTACCAATTTTTCCCACTAAATGTCGTTTTAGAAGGAAGAACAAAAATATTCTCCATCCTGCTATAACCCCGTTTTAAATGAAATGTCAATTTACATTTAAAGGAATATCAGAGTCAAATTTGAACACCGTTCTTCTTTACTCTTTTATAATAAAACAAGCCAACTTAACATGCTAATCCTGAAGTCCTCTTATGTGTTTCCCCCTTAATTAGCATTTTGGTGTCTAATTTTGCTAATCAATTTTGACCAGCTCCTTTTTTAAATAATCTAAGGAAAAAAAACTTCTTCATTGATTTTTTTTTCATACCAGATCCATTTTCATAATTTGGCATTCCAAGATTTTTATAAAAAAACTCCTTTGCTGAATATTTTCAATATAGGTTTATGTTTTGACATAGGCTCCGGATTTTTTTGTATTTTAATGGTTCCGAATTCTTGGTGAGAAAAAATTTTTAGCAGAACATTTTAAATATAGGGCCATGTTTTATGAAGACTTAATTAAAATGTTCCCGCCCCATTTTATGTACTTTGATGGTCCCTAGGTCCATTTTCTAACCGAAGATATTGTAATGTTCCATTATGTGTTCTTGGCCCGAAAATTTTAAATCCACGTTCAATTAACGTTTTGACAACACTGCCATATAATGCAATACCACATCTTCGGTATGTTAAGGTTCGCTGGCTCCTTTTCTAACCCAAAATAAATAAAGGAGTTTAACATAAAATCTAATCCTATTCCATTTGAAGTATTCTGATAGTCTCAAGGGGGAAACACATACGAGGATTCAGGCCTGGCCTGTTAAGTTGGCTTTTTATGAAATGTCAATTTAGAAAGGAATATCAAGGAATATTTTTCCCCCTTCAGATCCATTTTCCAATTCAAAAGCCAAAAATTTGGCTATTGGTGAGGAAAAAGCTTCACGCCAAAATTTATTATGTTATACCCTACACAACTATGTTGTCAACGTATTATGTCGTCCCAAAGACCCACCTTTTAGAATACCGATCGTCACTATCTGAGTCGTCATAGTCATGTGTGTCAGTCCATTTTATTTTTAAATGAAGCAAATTTTTACATATAAGATGGATTCTGACCAGTGAAGATTCGATCCGAAACGACCCGAGTCACACTCGGCCAACGTGTAAAAGCAGCCTATTGTGTAAAAGCAATAGGGGTGATACAACAACCACAACTGTTTATAACTTTACAACACAGTGGTACAGAGTATTATGTCTTTGTGCATATGTTTGTAACAGGCAAAAGGAAACGATATAGATATGTCCGACCGTCCGTCTGTCCATGTATTCATGTAAACAAAGTACAGGTCGTATTTATGACCCGATTTGGATGGAATTCGGCACAGCTCACTTATTTGGCCCAACGACGAACCTTATTGAAATTGGGAAAATCGGTTCAGACATAGATATAGCTCCCATATATATTTTCGTCTGATTTACTGTAAATGCTGCACCAAAGCCGCTATATTTCTTTCGATTTGCACGAAATATGGCATAGCGTACTGATTTGTATCTAGAACGATGTGTGTTAAGTTTCCTGAAAATCGGTTCAGATTTACATATACCTCCCATACATACTTTCGTCCGATTTTTAGTAAATAGTGCACCAAAGAGATACAATTAGGTCGATTGACAAAAAAATGTTGCACAACCTACTGAATTTTGTATAGGTCAAGTCAAGTTTTGGTGAAATCGGTTCAGATTTAGATGTAGGTCCCATATATATTTTCATCCGTTTTTATGTAAATGTTGCTCCAAAGACGTTGGAACGATTGGAACATGTTTCAGGTTTTGGTGAAAATGGTTCAGATTTAGATGTATATCCCATATATATTTTCGTGCGATTTTAGGTGAATGGTGCACCAAGGAGCCAAATTGTGGCTATATATATATATATATATATATATTTGTTTCAAATCGATTTACATAAAATTGTCCATTGCAACGAACGAATGACATGTTTATGGAGTCATCTAAGTCAGTTTACATTTAGATAAAGAACACATATTTTAGTTCATCCAATTTCATGTTAATGGTCCTTAAAAAATGCGACGTCCGTTAGGATGCATCTGTTTAATATATCCATAGTTGTAAAGGGTATCATATAGTCGGCCCCGTCCCACTTTACTACTTTCCTTACTGGTTTTGGTATTATTTTAGGGGATCAAATGGAACAAACACTTTATTTTTGTCTGCATTTCTGGTCGCTCCGCAATTATGTCTCGAACATCGGAAAAATTTTCGTAGAGAAAGGCATGAAGGTAAGCATTTAGCGAGTCAAAAGCTTGATTTTGATATTCCTTTATAAATTGACATCTCACACAAAGCCAACTTAAAAGGCCAGGCCAGAATCCTCGTATGCGTTTCCCTCCTACATACTTAAAATTTACCGAGTCATATGCATTCTGATATTGTTTAGTATTACCATTACCACACTAGAGGACGGTGATGCCATGAGGTTCAGGTTTTGGCCACGGAGGACGCATATAATAATGAATTAGACCGAAAACTTTATTTGTCAACTAATACGAATATCTGTCATGATATTTAGCGTGTCAAATAATGCCACAGAGGAGCTGTTGACTTGTGTTAATTGTGTGTGGTCGGGTCCGTCTGACTATAATGCTCCAATGACTGAATTTTACATAACCTTATTTATTTATTTAGAGGATAAAAAGCCTCCTGTCAGAAAATAAAACGATCCTACCCGATTTTAAGTATTTTAAATGTCCAACTCATGGTGGAGTGTATGAATATTTTGAGGTGGGACTAACGGAATGACAAAATTAATATATCCTCCAACTTCGTAGTAGCTGCCATCCATTTCAAATCACAATGTCAACATGGGAGTAATTAGATTTGTAGCCCATAGCCTCAACAACATTGTGTATCTTCTCATTAAAGAGCAATTAAGATTTTCATCATTAATATCCTGTTCACTGTACACTGTGTGTTTCTGTATGTGTGTGTGTGTGAGTGAATTTGTGGCACAACATAGCTCACATCAACACTTACTCTTTCATTAATTAATGTATGTATATATGTATGTATGTACTCGTATGTCTTTTAAAAGAAATTTACGAACTAAAACACTGGCATTCATCCATGTGATAACAGTTTTCCTTTCGAAAAGTTCGCATGGAGTTCTGCTTGCTCAACGTCCCATTATGCATGGTGTTTATTTAATTATTTAATTAATTGGAATAATTAAAGTCATAAACACATAATAAAATTTTATTAAACAGAATGCCGAAGACGTAGTTGTAGCACCATCATCATCGACACTTGAGAGATGCAGCAAATGTGCAAATATTTAATGAAATTTGCTCTTTAGTCTGTATTTATTTATCAATATGTTTTTGTTTTAGTTCGTGGCTGAAGTTGGGAATATATATTTATATTGAGTAGGAAGGATGTTAGTGTGTGTTATCAAATATTAATATACCACAATCTGGGAATTTAATTAATATGTAACTTTTAATAAAATGCTAAATTGTACCCAACGTATGGTCAATATTTTTAGCAGTACTTTTGTATAATATGTAGGCTATATTAAATTGTGTACGAACAGATGGTAAGCGGGCGTATTTTTATACCCTTCACCACACTGTGGTACAGGGTATTATGTCTTTGTGCATATGTTTGTAACAGGCAAAAATAATCAAGATAGACCCATGGTTGCTTTTGAGAATATGCATAGAATCACTTTCTGAGTCGATTTATGAATGTCCGTCTGTCCGTCCGTCCATGTATTTTTGTTAACAAAGTACAGGTCGCATTTATGATCCGATTAGGATGAAATTTGGCACAGGTCACTTAATTGGCCCAAGGACGAACCCTATTGAAATTGGAGAAAATCGGTCCACGTTTAGGCATAGCTCCCATATAAGGGTATAGCCCCTCAATTTTCGGTATTTTGAGGTTATTTAGCACGTTTTTTAACTGAATTCGCTGAAATTTGGTACTTTGAGTTCTTATTGGGTAGCAAATCTCCCTACTAAAAATTATAAATATAGGTCCATTTTTTCGGATAGTCCCCATATAAGGGTACCCCCAATTTTCGGTATTTTGGGGGTTTTGATCGCATTTTTGGACCGAATTCGCTGAAATTTGGTACTTTCAGTTCTTATTGGGTAGCAAATTTCCCTACTAAAAATTATAAATATAGGTCAATTTTTTCGGATAGTCCCCATATAAGGGTACACACAATTTTCGGTATTTTGGGGTTCTTGAGGTCGTTTTATAACTGAATTCTCTGAAATTTTGTACATTGGGTTCTTATTGGGTACCAAATTACTCCACTAAAAATTATAAATATAAGTCCAGTTTTTCTGGTAGTCCCCATATAACGGTACCCCCAAATTTTTGGTATTTTGGGGGTTCTGATCGTATTTTTCGACCGAATTGACTGTAATTTAGTAAGTCGAGTCCTTATTAGGTAGCAAATCTCTCCACTATAAATTATAAATATAGGTCAATTTATTCGGGTAACCCCTATATAAGGGTACCCCCCAATTTTCGGTATTTTGGGGTTCTTGAGCGCGTTTTTCAACCAAATTCTTTGTAATTTGGTTTTTTTTTCATAAATTCTTTGTAATTTGGTTTTTTATACCTTCACCACACTGTGGTACAGGGTATTATGTCTTTGTGCATATGTTTGTAACAGGCAAAAGGAATCAAGATAGACCCATGGTTCCTTTTGAGAATATGCATATAATCACTTTTTAAACCGTCCGTCCGTCCGTCTGT